TAAGGTGACTAGCCTAATTTATATTTCTAATATATCTTTGCCGATATTTGCATACGTTGACTATCAACTCTCCAAATAAGACCGTTAGTCATTTGTTTCTGACCTGGCCCACCGTCTCTAGCGTGTCACCCAGTTGTAAAGGATTAAATAGTTACTAATATAATAGAACCGTCTTCGATTACCGGTCCATCCGGTGTTCCGTCGTGACTTCCACAAATGTTTCCGTTATATAACACAGAAAAAATCGAAGAGAGAAAGGGTTTGCAGAGGGTGAATCCTCATCCTCGTCCGCCGTTGTTTTGTAATTCTCCCTCTCTCCAAGTTTCCCTGTTTTACGCAGACAAAATCAATCTACGATCATGGCGACGGCCGACGCGCCGGAGAACGCACGGAGGGTCGAGGATCCGAGCGAAGAATTCCAGGAATCCACATTCTTCAGCCGCGGGTGCTGCTTCCTCTGGAATTTCCCGTGTTCGATCTCGCGGAGGAGAGAGAGTTGGGAGCGGATCTCGCCGTCGGAGACGGAATTGCCGGAGAGCGGTGGCCGGAGTTGGTGGGGAAGGGGTGTCGACGCGCTGAAGAAGGTGCGGGAATGGTCGGAGATGGTGGCCGGGCCGAAGTGGAAGACGTTCATCCGCCGGTTCAACCGGACCGGGACGCGGTCCAAGGCTGGGCAATTCAATTACGACCCGATGAGTTACGCGTTGAATTTCGACGAGGGGCAAAACGGTCAGTTTGAGGACGACCGGATTTTCAGGGACTTCTCGTCGCGATACGCGGCGATCCCCCCGGTGCAGGGTAACGGTCAGTTGAAATGAAGGGCGATGACGTGGCAGGTTTGACGAAAAATGGTGAAGGTGGGTTGACCGGCGCTAAGTGCGGGCGTGCGGACAGCGGATTCTCAGTCATCGATGATGTGTATGATTTGGATCGGTTGCTAAGTGGGCTCCGGTCTTCAATAGGTTTTATAATTGTATTAATTAATTTTTAGTTGCTCTTTGGTTGTTACTACCTTTTTTTTTCATGGTGATGTTGATTATCATACGTAATATGATTATTATTATTATTATTTTTTTTTTTCAAATAAATGTTTGACATAATCACATAATAATGTATCTAAATCTTATTTTGTGGGTGAGTGAAGAAAAAGTGTTGGGAAGGAATATGGGTTGGCATGGAAAATCTTCCTTTTTGGATATTTTGTTTATAGGCAAATGCTACACTTTCGTTATGGAACTATTCCGTCAAAATTTGTAACCGTTAGATCATCATGTAATCGTCGTAAATAGTTGATTAACGATTACAAACCACGAAGGAGTGGTTCCGTAACGAGATCGTAGAATCTCCCTTGTTTGTTTCTAATTGAAAAAATATGATAGGACATGAGATTAAAAATATTTTGTTACCGCATTTTTAGAATTTTGGATAGTTCCATTTAGATAATACTCCCTCCTTTTTTAAATAAAGTCGCTTGACTTTTTTGATTCATCCATTTTGCTATGTATCTAGACATTAATATGTCTAGATACATAGCAAAATGGATGAATCAAAAAAGTCAAAACGAC